CCTGAAATCACCAGTGCTCGATCCCCCGAGCTAAAGTCCTCCTAAATCACAATACATCCCTAATTAACACTTTCCCAACTAAGGTTGACTACTCTTTAACAAGTCAACTTAGGTCAACGGTCAACGGTCAACTTTGACCGGACTCGGCGAGTGCATTATGGCGACTCGGCGAGTCTGAGCGTATACAATGATTTCCCTGAAATCCTCCCTTGACGCGTCGAGCATTCTCTCCAACTCGACGAGTTCCACCTGGCATGAGTTGTGGGGCCACCACGACTCAACTCGCCGAGTCTCAAGAACAACTCGGCGAGTCCAACTTGACTCAGTCCACCTGTCCACTCTGATCCCCCATGACTCACTGAGTTAACCCTCCCTTACTCGGCAAGACCACTCGTTGTGTGGTCGGGCATTATTCATACTACTCGCCGAGTCTGTTCTTCGGACTCGGCGAGTCCGTACGATGCAATGACTCAAACTTGCTCATAAGGTAAGATCCAGTCCATTAACCCATAGATCCAGTCCTTCCAAGCTTATTTAGCACGTAAAGCCACAATCTTGATGCACATACAATCTCTATATGACCATATATGATGTTTTTGACTCAAATACTACAACACAAGGTCATAAACTCCATTGCTATACATAAAGCTTGATGAGTGAGGCTCTCTGGACCTCTATGGATCCAGATCCAGAGCCTCAACACAAGAAGGGAACTATTTGGCATCAAATCATCCCATAAATGTCCATAAGAAACCCTAGATCCCATAATACTTCCCAAAATAGAGGATAAACCGAAATCATACCTATAGATTGATGATCTAAGCTTCAAATCCACGAAATAGCAACCTCCTTTGCTTCCTCTTGCCTAGAATCTTCTCCTTCTTTGCTAAATGACACACACAAGGTCAAGAATGCTTCCTTACTCTCTCAAAACGTTCAAGCACTAAAGGGTTTCTCTCTAAGGGTTGGGTGAGCACAAATGACGGCCATAAGGCCCTTTAAATAGGCCTCAAACCTCGGAAATTAGGGTTTCACCACACAACGTGGACTCGCCGAGTCCGGACGCGAACCCGTGCCAAAATCCGCGATCCTACTCGGCGAGTTTGAGCTCCAACTCGCCGAGTCCACTCACAATTTTCATAATTAATTCCAAAATAAATACCTGGAAGTTCCGGGCTGTTACACTATTTCTCAGAGTTGGGTTTCTGTTTCTCTTTTATTACGAAGTCTTCCGACATCACTGATTCTAAATTTGAAACTCAATTAATAAATTGAACTTTTTTTTTCTAGGTTTAAACAAACACCTGACAAATCTGAGGAGGTTGCAGGTTTAAATTTATGTTTCCACTGCTATTTCTATTTTCCCTAAATTCCACACTTTGTTTCAGTTGGACCAAAGAGACCACTATGCACCTCCCTCTCTGTGACGACATCGGAAAGGAAAGCCATCGCAGTAAACATGGGTTTCCGTTATCATAATCGAGGGTCGTGGTGGTGATTGTTGTAGCGATCAATGGAGGCGGTGCAAAGGATATTGAACGGAACTCTGTAGGGTGATGTGATGTCCAGGTACATCTGTTTTTTTTGCTTACTTACATGTTTCTTCTTTTGGTAGCTTAACTTTACAGCTTTTAAACCTCCTGATTGATTGTTTTCATTGATTTTTTCTAACACTCCATGATTTCCTTGTATAATGAACTGACAAAAGAATGTAATGTTTGCTGGATTCATTTGACAAATGGCACAGGTACAAGATCCAATGTCAAAGATGCTTATTATTATTTCTTTTTTATAATTTTAAGATATCCAACAAACTCATATGGAATAGAAAATATAGTTTGGAATGGGATGGTAATTTTGTTAAATGTTTAAATGTTTGCTTACCAGGTGTTTGTTAAAAGTCCTTATTGAACTTTTAAAATCTTATATGTTCTATGATCTATTGTTTTGTTACTAAATGTTGAAATGGGACTTGAGTTTTGTTCTGGATGATGGCAGATAGGAAGATAAAATCTTCCAAGAATGCATTTGATGTAAATATTGATACTGATAATACTTGATTCAATACAGTTCACATTTATGTATTAATGTTGAGTATAAATTGCACATTATCATTGTACTTATCTTCATTGGCTTCTTGAAATAATCCTAATTGGAGGCTCAATTTTCTAAAATTTTAATGTATAAATCGCATGAAATAAGAAGTAGAGAACTTCTAATTGTTTAACCGTTAATAAGATAATAAAATATATATTATTAGTTTAAGCAATCAAAAACCAATTACTATGCTTCGGAATTAGAATAATAATTAACAAAAATACAAACATTTGTTAGGACTTTGGATACGTTTTTTGTATTGGCATAATGGTTTATACTTTTATCATAACGAAAGAATTAAACCCTCCTAATTCTGAATCTTCAAATTTGTGTCTAAATTTTTTAATTGGTTAATGTTTTGCAGAGTTTTCTTGGTATTTCAGATTGGGTATCCTCCACTCTTAGATGCAGCAACACTTCTGTTTTGGGCACAAGTAGCACAAGAATATGGTGAAAAATTGAGCGACTTCTGTTTTGGGCACAAGTAGCACAAGAATAAATTAGTAATAGCAACACTCATAATACCCAATGATTACACTGGTATGCGAGTTCTCCTTATTCTTATCATCATTAATAATAACATTGTTGTTATTATTATAACCATTGTTATTATATACAAATATTAATAAAGTTGATGAATCATTATGCCTTTTAGGATGTGTTGAAGCACTACTAGAAAAAAGACCTTTAATGACGCGCTTTTATCGACAAGCACTGATTAATGATAAGCAAAAGAACGTGTCCTTAAAATAGTGTCATCTCTCCAAAAAATTTAAGGATTTACGTCACGCATTATTGCGTGCCCTTAATTTAGTGTCTCAAGAAAAAAAAATTAAAATCACGGAGGGCACTTTATCTTAAACGCGTGTCGTCTGTACCTGTCGCTTTATAATTTTAATGAAACGCGCTTTTAGTAGATAAGGGGGGAAACGAAATCCCCAAAATTTTGAAAACCCGCCTCGTTTTTTCTATCTTCTATCTATCTTTCATCCTTGCAATCGACTCTCCCCTCTCTGATACTCTCTCCTCTAGATCTCCCTTCATTCTCTACCTCCTGTCTCTCTGTAAACCCTAAGCCATCGCCACCTCCCTTCTCTCTAGCACGCGCTAGGGTTTTATTTTCTTCCAAGCTTCCGCTTCTCTCGTTTTCTCTCAACCCAGTACGTGTGAGGGTTATGAAATAAAGAAAACCCCCAATGCTCCACAAAGACCCCTTTCTGAAAAATATCATGTAAAGTCGTAGAGACGGAGTCTGAAATCATCAAGAGGAGAACAAGAAGATAAAGCGAAGGTGAATCGTTAATTGATCTCCAAGGTCACCTCATCAATGGCGTCGACCAAATCTAAAACCTCGAATTCAAAAAAATTAGATGGCTGACCTTAACGCATCTGAGAATTTCAACAGCAATAACAACATGGATCTCTTCTCTCGTAGTCGCACTAATCTCCAACCGCCTCTTCCGACGAATTGGACTGTACGGTTACACTTTTTTTTTGTTTTCTAAGTTCTAGTACTAAGACTTGATTAGTATGCTTCATGTATTCTATACAATTTCCTACCGGAGTTGTATAAGCAGGATATGATTTTATGTTTGTGATGAGAAAGCGTAATTTGAAAACGATAGCTGGAGTATTTTGGGGATGAATCTGGTCTTTTGTAAGATTCTCTACCACGTTTGCTGCATCAACTCTCCTCCTGAAGGCGACCTTCAATAACATTCTCTACCTCCAATCACCTCCTGCCGACGACCTCACCTCATCTTTTTCTGCCGGCGACCTTGGGTTCACCTCACATCCCTTCACCTGTACCAGCAATGGATAGGTGAGTCCTAAAAGCTTGATGATGAACCCTAGGTCCGATTTCACTAAGGTATTAAAACAATGCTTCTACCCTGCCATATTTCTTCAATTGTTCAACAAATGCACCTATCAAGTAATCTATCTCATACTTATCACAGAAGAACGACAATGAATCTTTCACCATCGGTACATCAGATATCGACTCCTCTGGCTCACCGGTCCACTTCCCTTCTACCCTACTCCATCTCTCGAGTTCATCATCTCAATCAAGAAAAAAAGCTTATGGATTTCCATGCATCTCTTTCATCTCTTCTGTGATTCACCTGGTGTTATCGATCTTTCCTTTGTGAAGTATTTATATACATATTTAACTTTGGGGGATTTTGTCATTAATGGTATTCATGGAACTTAAATGGCAGAAAGTAGCCTTCCTTTGGTTTGTGTTTTGACCTGGACGAAGATGACTTGATTGAATGATTGTTTTTTTTGTTGAGTTTTATCATCATATATATTTTGTTGTAAAATCATATCTCATTTTGTCGTTGCCTTATTTTATGGTCATTTAGCATGTGTTTAATGTAGGATGTAGAGTATTGGGTATGTCAGCCACGTAACCCATTCTCTTGTGGTATGTTTTTTGTAGGGTGATAGAACAGGGGCACACTAGGTGTTCGACATATGACATATAAACTAATCTTATAGATGTGTGCATGTTTTTGAAAGGAAATTCATTTACTTTGTAACATAAATAGACAAGTGAAAATATGTGTATCTTGATTTAGATCCAACCCATATAGCACCTGCCAAACAGTAACTGAAAAAGATCAAGAAAAGGATAAAAAAGAAACTGAAAGGAAATGTCATGAGAAAAAGAAAGAAACTGAAAGAAACAAGAAAGGGTTCATGGATCGTGCTCAAAGCTTGAGGTTTAGGTCCAACAACACTTGAAACAGGTCACAGGTCAAAGGGTATAATAGTAAATAGCCATAACAACAAGGGAGTTGTTGGTGGAAGGTATTTGGATCGAATTAGGAGCAACTTCTTTTCATCTTCAAGAACACTTGGCACTGGTGGTTTTTTGGGCAAGGGACAAATTAATGCAAATGTTGGAAACACAAGAGAAAATAGATACATTTCTTATTCGGATCATTCCCAAAATACCCCCAAACAAGAGAGATTTTGTGCAGAATGATCGTGGATTTGGGAAATCAAATCCACATCCAGATAATCATAACCATATTCGTCCTGTAAGTTTTCTTGTTACTCATTTTTTTCTATAACTCTATAAATTATACAAATTTAAAACACCATATTTGATTTTTCACTATTTTATTAATCTGATATTTCTTTTATTTGCAGGCAGTTTTTGAACTCCAACCTTGTGCTCCTCCTAAAATATCAAATACAACACGTAAATAAGGTATTACCCAAAAAGATTTTCTAAAAATTTACAAGTAAAAAAAGTAAACAAATTACTTAAATTACATGGACCAATTGTGTAATTATATTCTCAATTCACAAAACAAACAGTAGGAATGATGCATCGACCAATTTAAAATTGAGAACATGCACTAGTTAAAACAATTAAATGTCGCATATAGTTGTATATAATATTCATATATTCTTTTAAGATTAATTTAAATCAATATCAACATGAAGAAAGGAGAATATTAAATTGCTTAAATCGCCTTATGAAGACAACAAAAAGTATTATCGGAACAAATGGCTTTCATATATGTATTTTTTTATATCAGGTATTCGGGTATACCCGAACGCCAATAAACATACCTTATACCTGAACTGATATAAAATCGGGTTAACCAAATACCCAGAATTATGATAGGAGAAGCTTCAATGGAAAAGAAACACATTTGCAGCCTCAAAGAGGTTATCCCATTGGTTATATATGTACTTCCACCATATTATTATGTATTCATCCACAAATGTATTTTGGTGAATAATTAATAGTGCTTATCCTCTTAATTTGTGGATTAATTACATAAAACAGTGAGCATCTTAATTTTTATCCTAGAAAAATAAAAATAAATAGAGATATAAGGTCATAATTAGATCTTATTTAAAGATATGTGAGTATGTGTAAGTATGTAAGTGTGTGCAAGTGTTTGTGTATATTTTTGGACTGATTATTCTATTAGTATAGGTTTTGTCTACTTTAGGTATATTTCATCCCTTCTATCTTATGCATCAAGGCTAAACCAAGGTATTAACTAAAATACCCCTTATGTTAAATTTGACCAAAATACCTCTCTTTATGACTTAATGTCTAATCTTGTGAAGTTATGTTTATGTCTTTGACTTAATATCTATTTCAACCATTACATCTCATATACATCATGGCTAAATCAAGGTTTTGACCAAAATACCCGGTATGTTATTTTTTTTTTTTTTTCTGTATTACCAATAAATGCTAATTTTTTTGTAATAGTGTTAACTCATCATTTAAAGTGTTTGTATGGAAATTATCTTATGGTGTGTCCAATTTTTCTTACCAATAAATGCTAATTTTTTGTAATAGTGTTAACTCATCATGTTTATATGAATCTAAAGGTTGCATGATTCAAATTTGCAGGTTTTAGGGTGGCATATCCATCTTATAATACAAAACAAAACCACAATAGAGGTTAGAATAATGCTTTAGTGTGTAAATGCATGCAGATCAATGTTGTGTTACATTACATGATATCTTTGTTGTTGTAACCTGTTTACAATTGGCTTTCTTCCACATGATGAAATAGTAACAGTTAGGAGAGGGTTTTTATTTTTATTTTTGAAAATTTGATCATCAACAAGAACAAGGCTGTCTTGTAAGTGTTATTTCATCAAATTGCAGAAAATAGCAACGTACTTGATATATGGAGATTGAAACTTAAAAAAGCTTACAAGTTTTGATTGGTGGATTGATTCTTTTTGAGGCTTATTCTGCATGAAGTGGTTATCAGGATATATCATACTTGATAAGGTTTGTTCAACGTTTTATAGGATTAAAGTACACTAAAAATGTCAATGGCTAGGATTTTTCAGTTAAAAATGTGCATAAACATTTCTTATGCTACAGTTGCTGCTCATGCAGATCAAACTAGCAGGAGGAAATTAGCACTTTTCCAAGTTCCTTTGTTACTAGGCATTGGGGAAAAAGATACAGCCCTGACTAAGGAAACTGAAAGTGGCGAAACTGATCTTGTTTATCTTGTTCTCTTTCATACATGGCAGAAGGTATTTATTGTTTTCTTATTTGATTAATTATAAAATAATGGTAAAATTAAGTTCTCAAATTATTGGCTTGTATAGAGACCAACATTGGAATTATTTGGAATGATACAAGCTAGACCTATTGCGCGTGATCTATTCATATGAGACTCAAGATATCATATTTTGGCATGGCTAGAAGCTTTGGAGGAAACGAGACTCAAGAAAAAGTAAACACACAGAGAGTTGTTGGCACATAGTGAACTAGATGATGCAATTGTATATAAATGAGTTCATTTTTTTTATAACATTTACTCACTTTTGGAACAATTATTTGTATTTGACATATTAGTGAAATGAATTATCTTTGTTATTTATGGTATTTTATTTTGTATTATGAGATTTTTAATGTATTATTTAATTTGAAGTAAATCTATAAATAATATTTTTTTTTAAACATTTAAATTTACGATACGCAAAAATGTGTGTCATCTTCATTTATGACATGGCCTTTCTTGACAGGGGCTTCCTTGATACGCATTGCGTGTCGTAAACGCGCGTCATAATTGCGCGTCGTAAATAAGCGTCGTAAATGCGCGTCGTCTCTCTTTATGACAGGGCTTTCCTTGACGCGCATTTGCGCGTCGTCTGAGCCTTTTACGACGCGCAATGAGCGTCGTAAAAGGCTGTTTTTCTAGTAGTGAAGGAGGAATCCAATTGCAGAGGAAAAACCCAAGATGACATGAGGGGTTGTTAGGGTGGAGGGTGTGCTTCCCGGTGGAACAAAGTTGTTTGATACACCAGTGTTACTGCATCCACACTAGATTACCACGCGGTTGGCTATAGAGGAACAAAAGTTAGTCCACATCAACAAAGAGTTGAAACCAAGGACTTACAAAATCAATGTGATCTTCCAAATATACCCTTTATTATGTATTTTTGTAATCTTTGTGGTGATTATTGTTGTAATTTGTTATGAATTAGGTTGGGAATTTTGTGCTTATTGGGGGACGTATGAGACTTGATATAGAAGAATCACCAGTTGATTCTATATATGTAGTTGTTTGGGCATCTCATCATCTTCCCCTTTATATGGAAAACCGGAGAAAGCAATGCAACACTCATGCTTGGATGGATGGAACATTCAATACTATCAAGGTTGGACGGAGGCGTCTCTTATCGGTCGGCAGTGAGTTGTGAATCATTTTGGTCGTCAATTACAGGTACAATAATAATTCAAGATTCTGTGTTCATGAATCGTGATAATCTAAATGTCATTTCTCATGGTAATTATAATGGTGAGGTAATTTTTTTAGTTGTAATTCTAATATCATGATGAATTATATTCACGAATATTCGTTCTTATTCTTATAAAAATATTATAACATAGGTTCGATATCTGAAGTTCTATTCTGATTTTTTTTTATTGATGATTTGTAATTTCTTTGTTTCCCAATAACCACATGTACTATTGTAATTGATTTGTTTATCAATTACTTAAATTTTTATTTCAATTGAATAGGGGTATCACATGATATGCAATTTCCATTTCAAGCTAAAGGAAAACATATGTATTTTTTTTGTATCTAGGAAGATAGTATTGAAAATGTACACTGGATTAAATAAAACTTACAAGCAGCAACTATTAACACTTCTTTTATCATATCATGTGTCCAACTTATAGTCGACACGGGCTATTTTTGAATGTTTGATTTAGAAAATTGTATTGAAACATTATCCATATTTTTATACTCCATACCTAGCCTTAACCATTGCTTTATTTAATATTCGAGAGGTAATACTTTACTTTTTTTAACAGGGTGTTGTTGCCGCACTTGCTATTTACTTTGCAACACAAAGGGGGTCATTATATTATAACATACTACAACATATTTATGTATTTGTAAATGAGTGAAACGTAGACAATAGCAACATACTTTACTATAGCTACCAATTAGAACAATGTATTATACCTCCACACAAAAGCGACACCTTCAACCCCGCAACGCAGGGTCACCTTTCTAGTAGTAAATTATATCAATTTCATTGAGCGAGTAATTACCTTGCCTCTCCTTATCTTTCTAACTTAAAATATAATAAACCTAAGCATAAACGTAAAACAATTGTCTAATTTCGAAAGCAAGCTATCTATATTCCAACACAAAATAGTAAAATTTATTATTTTTAATACGAAACAACATATTTTTTAACCCATTAAAAAATGTGCTTTTATTTTTTTTATTGTAAAAAGCTATTTTATTTTTAACATAAAACAACATATTTTTATTTTTAACCTGAAACAAATAATGTGTTTACACTTTCAACCCAAAATAACAATGTGCTTATATTAGCAACATATTTTTATTTTTAACTCAAAACATAAATATAATTTAATTTTTAATTTGTATAAATGAATCTCCATATCAAAAGACATGGAGTTATGCTCATTATATAGTGGAGATAATTCCATATAACCCCCACAAAGAATACAAAAAGACATACAATAATTACATATAACCTATATAAAGAATACAAAAGACATACAAATAAATGTAGTCTAATATCCCCCTCAAGCAACAAGTGGTGGACCAAGGCGCAACATTCGACGAAACTACTCAAACTGCTAACGAGACAGACTTTTGGTGAAGATATCCGCAACCTGAAGTTTGGTTGGAACGAACATAGTAATAAGTTTGCCGGATGCAACGAGCTCACGAACAAAATGATAGGGATGAGCATGGGTCGGTTTGGGTCGGTTTTTGGCTAAAACCAAACCAAACCGTAGAAAGTCGGTTTTTCGGTTTTTAAAACCATATAGGTTCGGTTTTTACATGGGTCGGTTTTTCGGTTTTCCGGGTTGGGTTTATGGGTTTTCGGTTTTAAACCGTGGGTTTATGAGCTTCTGTTTTTTTTTCTAGTTTTTTGGTTCAAACCTAGTGAAAATACGCTGCGATAAATAGTATTGTATCTACTTTAAATAGACTAAAATAAAGAGTACGAATTGTAGTATTATAAAAGCATAAAAGTGTTCAAAAGATCAAAGTTTAACACCATTAACAGTTTGTTGAAAATAAACATAAATTATTAAAAAGATAAAGTCTAAAGTCTAAAACTAAAAGTTTAAATCATAATATAAATAATGTATATGTGGGTCGATTCGGTTTTTATGGGCGGTTTTATACGTCAAAACCGAACCAAACCATTATTTTTCGGTTTTTGTAAAATTCAAACTTAAACCGTCGGTTATTGCTTTGGTTTCGGTTTTTCGGTTTCGGTTTTGTCGGTTTTTCGGTTTTCGATTCGGTTTTTGCTCATCCCTACAAAATGATACTCAAGGTCAATGTGTTTGGCACGTTTGTGAGAAACAAGATTCTGGGTGAGTTAGAGCGCACTCTGATTATCCCAAAGGAGGGTCGGTCAACCGGAAGGCAAAGCATAAAGTTCATGCAGAAGATGAGCAAGCCAAATAATCTCAGCGGCAGTGTTCGCCATGGCCTGATATTCATATTCACAACTGGAGCGATAAACGACCGACTATTTCTTAGCACTCCAAGATACAAGATTACCCCCCAGGAATATCGAGTAGCCATAAGTGGAACATCGGGTATCAAGACAACGAGCCCAATCTGCATCAGAGTAGCCCACAATAGAGGTGGACTTGGGCCAAGAAAAACTGAGACCAAAAGTGAGCGTTCCCTTCACATAACGAATAAGACGCTTCACAGCTTGAAAGTGAGTGACAGTCATAGCAGTAAGATACCGGCTGACCTAATTCATAGCATAGGCAATGTCCGATCGAGTAATCGTCAGATACTAAAGTGCTCTGACCAACGAGCGATAGTGTGTGGGGTCCTCATAAAAGGGACCATCACTAACAAGAGATGCATTGATGGCAAGGGGAGTCATCATGGGCTTAGCATCAAGTAGACCTGCACGAGAAACAATGTCATGAGCATATTTGGCCTGGCTAAGGAAGAGACCGTGTGGAAGCAACGTCGCCTCGAGGCCAAGGAAATAGCTCAAGCGCCCAAGATCTTTAATATGGAACTCAACATGAAGCTTGAAAATAAAGCTAGACATAACGGAGGTGTCAAATCCAGTGAGGATAAGGTCATCCACATACACCAACAAGTAAAGAATGAAGTGATCCCGGCAAAAAATAAATAAATATGGGTCAGCCCGACTACAAGAGAATCCATTAGTAACCAGAAAAGAGCTCAACCAATGAAACCACACATGCGGGACTTGCTTCAACCCATAGATAGCTTTTTTGAGCTTGCAAACACGATTAGGAAACCAAGTATCAACGAACCCCGGGGGTTGCTGCATATAAACTGTATCACCCAACTTGCCATGTAAAAAAGCATTATTAACATCAAGTTGACGCAACTGCCACCCATTAACAATGGAGAGAGAAAGAACAACACGGACCGTGGCAGCTTTGACAACAGGACTGAAAGTATGCAAAAAATCAAGACCCGACACCTGACTAAAACCTTGGGCAACAAGATGAGCCTTGTACTGCTCAATAGAACCATCCGGCCGGTACTTAGTACAAAAAAGCCACCTGCAACCAACAATATTATAGAGAGGCGGACGAGGAACCAACGTCCTAGTATTATTGTGGTGCAACGCATGCATTTCGGAGCGCATGACATTACACCATTTAGGGTCACGCAAGGTAGTGACATGAGAAACGGGATCTGGAGAAGAGAGCACAACCGACAACAGACCACATGACCGAAGGTGCGCAAGATTAACCCGATAACGTGAGTTAAAAATCCCCGCCTTAGCGTGAGTGGTCATGGTGTGTGATGACGGGGGGGGGGGGGGGGGTGGGCACACTTCGGGATCGGGAAGGTCTAAAGCAGACTCGTTAGTGGGATCGGTGTCCGAGTCGGGGCCAGAAGAGCTGTCGGAAGAAGAAGAGCTTGACCTTGTAAGGGACGGTTCGACATCGGCATCAGGGGCAGGATCGATGGCTGCTAAAGGAGGCTCGATGACCTAAGGTGAGACAGAACGGGCTATGAGAAAACTACACATGGAGCGGTAGGGGGAGATAGGGAAGTCGTCCTTGGAAGAGCAATAGGCAGGGAAGAGGGCATCATGATACTTGAAACATCTCCAAAAAAACTTATGTAAAGGCAAAGAGGCCATGGGAGCCGCACCAGAAGACCCACCAAAGGGAAAATAAGTCTCATCAAATCGGGCATGTCGAGTAATAACGATGCATGAGGAAACCGAGTCAAGACATTGATAGCCTTTATATTGTGGATGATAGCCAATGAAGACGCATGGTATACTCCGAGGAGAGAGTTTATGAGCTGCATAATCACGCAAATAAGGATACACGCGACATCCAAAAGGACGAAAAGTGTCATATGAGGGCACTTAATAGCAATACAAATCAACCGAAGATGGGCCCCAAAGGTCACAATGCACCAAATCTAAAATACAAGCGGCCCGTTTATCATTATTATAAAAGGGTAACCGATATGATTTTGACAGTTGAGACTGCGAACATACAACCGGTTTAGGTAAAATAGAAGACACCAAAAAAAGTCCAAATTTATTTAACAAAGAAATTGTGTCAAACGACACATGTCCCAAATAGGAATGGCATAACTCAAAAGAGGCCTTCGATCCATTCCGAGCAAAGAAAGCACGCGCCACCGGTTTATTAGGAAGAATGTAGAGCCCATGAGAACATCGTCCGCGAGCTAGAGCCCACTTTGTTTCCCAATCGTGAATTTCACAATAATATTTGGAGAAAAATACATCCACATCATTATCATAAGTTAACCGGCTAATGGAGAGTAAATTTTTCGAGAGACGGGGAACCATTAACAGATCCTGTAACCGAAGTCCATTAGCAAGAGAAGAATGTCCAATAGATAAAATAGGAAGAGTATTACCATTACCAAATTGAACCAAGCCATCACCATTGAACGGTACAGGTTGAGAAATCGATCCTGAGGAAGACACCATATGATCCGAGACACCAAAATCAACATACCAATATGGGCCGGGAGTATTATTGACATTACATTTGTCTAGAAAGGCTTTCACCAAGTTGGTGTCATTTATGGGGGCCGAAGAGGCAAAAGAGCATAGTTATGGGCATTGATTTGCATAATGGTCATTGTTACGACATAGTTGGCAATGAGGGGAACGATGCCCACGGCTAAGACCACTGCGAG